TAAGTTTGCAATTATTGAGCGCTGAATTTGCTTTACTGCATGTTAGCCGAACGCGTAAATTACGTAGCGAAATTCAAGAGAGAGAGAGAGAGAGAGCGGGGTGGGGGAGGGGGGAAATAGGGTTGCCTTATTTCCACAGACAACCGCGGGGAGCGTTGTGATAGCAAACCAATACATATTATTCTGCTTTTTGTGCAAAGTATGTCAAAACATTTAAACGTAAGAATGAAAAATAAAAGCATCCATGGAAAAATTTCGTACGAGGAGCTTTAGAATTTGCACCGACCACCAAACAGTGCATTCACTGATGAAGTTAAACGCAAATGTGATTTTCCGGCTCCCGGCTGGAACCGCATGACCTACCGCGCGCTACGAGATTTCCCCGACACGAGCCAACTACCGCTCCATTCAAACAAAAGAAAGATAAACACCTTTTTTTACACCGGTTCCTGCCGCGAGCCAGAAACTGACAGCTGTGTTAAAGTTTTATGGTGACCGCACTTTGTTACGAGAATGTTCAATCAAGATGCGGTACATTCAGTCAGAAAGAAATTCACAGTCACGCATAAGACGGTCATAAGACTTATGTAGAATTGGCTAATTAGAATCAATATGAAGACAGTTTCTTCTTCTTCAGAAGTGTTTTTAAGAAGACAGAAATCAGAAATGAAAAGGGAACGGTCTCTAGAAAAGCACAGTGCTCATTAACAAGGTCAAAAAGTAGTCTAAAAGCACGTACCACTGGACGATTTCCACATTTGCATCGTAAAAAGAAGACCACCGGACTTTTACTCTGTAAGAAGTAGCTACTTAACTGCATAAAGTGAGGGAAAAAGTGTCAGTAAGGAAAACTGATTTCATCTGAGACCAGCCAACGGACGAGTCACAGATGACGCGTCTAACCTAGGGCGGCCCACATTATGATAATGTTCTGCTTGGTCAGGGCTACATCTTGTGGGGGAGATGACAGATGCGAATCGAGCAACGGTGGAATGACGATTAGACGAGAGAAAACGAAGTAGGAGGAAACATTCTCCTCTGCAAGACTCTCATTTAAAGTCACCAGGGACTGAACACGGGTTTAAGCATTAAGAATCCGGCGTCTGGCCACTATGCGCATAAAAACAGGACACTGCGGTCTGAGGAAAAGTGTTTTGTTTTCAGCGAGGTTAATACGACCAGCCCTAACGAACTCGGCCCGCAAAAGTTCGTCGCGGGAGGAATATCAATTGAATGTAAGACCCCGTGGGTACTCAGACCGTCATTGTCATGGTGATCAGAGACATCCGGTCTGCACACCTTCACTTTACAGAGTTCTACTTCCTGTTCCAAACCCTTAGTGGCAGGTGACATCCAGTAAGCACATCCTTATTGATGACGTCATGGGGACTTTTATTTAATAACTTGACAGCTAATGTTCTTTAGGAATACTTCAAAATCTTTATAAATACTTCCTACCCCTCTGCCCCCCACCCAAAGACAACGTCCCCGAAGACTGCAACTGCAATGTTTGACGAAGTGGAAAACTTTATCCTTAGCGATTTATGCCCGAAAGCAAGAGTTGCAAATTAAACTGAAGCCAAGGAATCAAAGGAACAATGACACGTATTTATTCTAAAACATTCGCAGGACTCATTTTTACAATGAAAACGGAAATGCGTAAGAGAAGGCTCGAAACGAAAGCGGGAAACTGAGATGTCAACACCCAGCTACATCCGCAAATTAAACCCAAAAATTAACTGTCTGTTGTGGTAAAATAACTCTTTGAACAGCGGATTCGAATACTGAAAGGTCTGGCCGGCACAAAAGAAGAAAAAACTGGAACATTTTCAATGAAATTCCCCTCTACCTTAGTACAAAACGCGACAGCCTAATTACGAGCAAGCACCGCACGCACGTGATTGCTTCGGCTGTATCTCACACCCGATCGCAGTTCGGGCGAGCGTAATAAACGAACCGACTGAAAGATGACTCTTCAATCTTCATATTTTTTATCACACTCTGAAATTTCCATAAATTAAACCTCTTCATACTGTTCTGGCCTCCCTTTGAGCAGCATATTAAGGAAGGGCAGACAAATACATGTGAAAAGGACACGACTCATTCCTTTGTCATTTATTATTGGTATATTTAACGACGTGTTTTCAGCTGCCTGCGTTACGTGGCGCCGAATGGTAGGATGATTTCTGAATGATGAATTGAACGCTAGTCTTGGTGCTGATGTTTACGGTTCGTGTCATGCATTCAGGGACTGTGAAAGAGATATCAACTTATCATATTCAGCAACGCATTCACCAGTCTCGAGTAGGCCTTGCTCATATCGACCAGTATTCACTCATCTGATCGATAACAGCGGTTTTCCCCTACAGGGCTGCCAACTGACAGACTTCTCAATTCTGGTCACATTTGAAGATATACTACCTGAGCAATTTAAGGCATCGTTAGGTGAATTATAATTAAATGATACCGATTCCCTGCTCTTTAATTGACTGTAACAAAAATATGAATACAAAGAATTGTTTCCTTAAATGTTAATGCCATTATCAGCTCCATATAGTTCCAGCATTTACATTAAGATAAGTGACTGGAACATTTTCAGGTATCTTTTTTAATTGCATCAGAACCCTTATTACAGAACTACAAATGCAATAGTTGCTTAACGTAATGTTCGGGAAGCAAAATGAGAAAAAAAACCTATAAATTAGTGGAATGTAGTGGAAACATTTATCATCTCTTCAAGCTTAAAACTAATTTTTGCCTTCGGAGCTTAATCGCACGTAATGATAACTTCGTTTTCGGTGCTTAATTCACTAAATTTACGCCAGAGAATTCGCCGAAAATGTAAAGAACGTCTGAAGAACATTGATAACCTTAAAAACGTAGATGTACCACTTGTAGTAACCACAGTAACACACATTTATTTCTGATTGAATATGTCTTCAAATACTTCTGGTGCACTACGCATACAAAACGATATATGCTAATTATAATTCACATAACGTAGGCAATGACCTAAGATCTTGATTCCTACTGGACCTGCAATAATTATGCAAAGGATTTACAACATGGTGGCTTGCCTATAAGATATCTGTCAAGACATTAGAAAACTACGGTCAGTGTTAAAGCATATAATATACTACTAAATTGTTATGATCTCTGTTGATTGATTATACAGTGCTCTCTGGTATGTTTATTCGCGTTGAAGAAGCTTCTTAAATAGGTATTTTCTGCAAAGTGAATAACAACTAGTCTCTAAGTTGTGGTTTTATTCTAACATGACGCAATTTAATTGGTGATTAATGACAGAATAGCGAATACGTAAGTAAATGCAGACTTGGAAAGCGAAAAACATTTTCAGTGGAACGTTAAGCGAACTACATCCAACTATACGAAAGGGAGAGATGAAACCAGTTTTTATGTTATGATGAATGTGATCTAAGTTTCATCAGTTCCATATTGAACTATTATCTGAAAATCGTCTTGGAAAGCAGCAAAATTATAATCTGCTCCAAATACTAAAGCTTAGAGGAAATGGCCAGAGTATAAGGGCAATATCTCCGGTAGAAAACTAGTACAAATTCTAATACATAGAAGTTGGTCTGCTTCCTTCCGCGTCATATTCATA